CAGGGATACTGGTCTGGCCTGCTTTCATTTTCCCCCTTTACCTTCTGCCTTGAGTTTAAAAGGGAAAGAAGTTCTGCTGCAGCAGAGAGGATGACAGAAGAATAGGCACTAGGAAAATGCTGGTGCCTGCTGAGACAAACCCTGTTTGTTACTGTAGCTGTCATCTGGCTTTTACCCAGCTCTGTTCAGCTTGGTATGACCTTAGTGTTGCAGCTGATAAAGTGTCTCACCATTCTGTATGTCCCTCTTCAGGAAATGTATGTTCTTTCTTCCACCAGGTGTTTTTTTTTTCCTAACAGCGGTGCTTTGGTTTGTTCCTCTTAGGTTAGATTTTTTTTTTTTTTTTAATTAATCATATTTGTCATAGTTACACACAAAAGATCTTTTTTCAGAAATTCTCCCTTGTCTGCTCTGACACTGGTTTTAGTCTGAAGACTGAGTGGAGCACATTTAAGTGTGACTAATGCAAGGGGGAGATTTAGCATTACATGTAATGTAAATATTACCTGGTCAGCAGCAGAATTGTAAATACAATTTATATACATTTTGTTTGGGGACAGTTTTCTTAAATTACATTTTATTTTTAATTTTAAAAAATTGACTTCAGGACATTTTCCAAGTTTTATTCAGAAGACCTAGAATGGACATGAACACATTCCAAAAGAAGAAATGCTTATCTGTTGTGTCACGTGTGCCAATAACAAATCCGTTAAGAACTTTGTAACGGTATCAGGAGCCACCACTGTCCTCATGCAACTTTGAGGATGGAGAGTAAGAGCTACAGAGCTGTGGAACAAAAGGTGTTATACAGGTTTTCAGTCTTCAGAGGCATCATTATTGACTAGTAATGTAGGATACTCTGCCTTGTGTAGTCTTATGGCTACTCATTCACCAGAACTAACATGACAAACACACTAATATTTCATAAGTCTAGGTGGAACTTAAGGATGCTCTCTGTGCGTGGGGGCAGATGTGTGCGCATTTTTTATGGCTTTGGAAAAGGGTTCCATGCAGCACTTTAGAGAGAACTAAGACTATTTTAAGGTCCTGCCTGTTTAAGACATTCATCTCTCTCTCACTTTTATTCCTTTTTGTCTTTTGAGCTCCTCTTCTTTCATAAACTTTTTGTAATGAAATAGTCATTTGTGCTGGAAGATGTATGACAAATAGCCTGCCTTTCCTAGGTGTCTTCAGTTGCTTCATTGACTTATGGGAAAGGATATACTTGGGTTAAAAATATAACAGCCTGCAAATGAACCCATGTAAAGTCTTTGAGTTTTGCTTGGAATCAAAAGGGATATCATGGCCTATGGGAAATTCGTGGGCCTATGGAGCAAATTCCAGAATTCTGTCAGATGAAATGCACAGAAGAACCAGTGATGTTATTCAGACTTAGGTTGAGCAATGGTTTAGTGATTGCGCAGTGGGAGCTGGGAGCTCTGGGTCCATAGGTTGGGTAATGAGTATTTAGAAATTAGTTTATACGAAATTGGAGAATTATCGTATAAGCTAGGAAGGGTTAAAAGAGGATGTAGGTGTCAGGCAGGCTTCTACAACGTTAAGAATTGAGAAGACTATAAAAACTTAGGGGGGTAGAATGTCAAGAAAAATTAGTATGTAAGAAATGATGTGGTATAGATGAGTGTGTGATTAAGCAAATACACAAATGTCCTACTCCTAAGTTTTCAAAGGATGAATGTGAAGGAAGATTATTTATTGCAGACATTTTTGTAGTAGTCTAGGTGATGACATGAAATGGCAAAGGATGTCTTCTGAACAGTGAAGTCTATGCGTTTTCCTAGAAAGGTTGCTGATAACCTTATTACCTCAATGGTTTGCACTCCATCCTTGAAAACACGCTTTGTACAATTGGTAATTCTGCTTATAAAGAGAGAGAATTAGTCACTGTGAATAGGAAGAGCTATGCAACAGCAGAGCTTCTCCCTTCATTCTGCAATAGTGTGTGTTGCATTAGGTTTTGCTGGCGGAGGCAAGGGCTACTACCCTTGTGACCTCGTGCAAATACAGACAAGTGAGGCCTTTCTTTCACGACAAGTCGTATCTCAGGCATATAAACTGCCATTTGTTAGCCCAGTCTTCACCGAACTGAAAGTAAAATAGGACATCTGCACTGGAAAACTGTTAGCAGCTGATTTCTCATAAAACAAGAAAGCCATTGTTTTTCAGGAGCTTGCATACTTCTGCAGTCCACCAGCTCTTCCCCAGTTGGGTAGTGTTAAGCACCACAGTGCCACCTGGAGTTGAAAAGTAAAGCACTATTTTTTGAAAAACTGGAAGGAACATAAAAGCACTAAAGTACATATTCTTTGATTAATTTTTGTTTAGTAAAATCACAAGTTCGAGCTTTAAAATTATCATTCATTTTCAGTTTGGAGACATGTTAGAGTGACGTTAGTGATGAAAAACGGGTCACAAAATACTTGTTTTGGTGACTTGGTATCAAGGTCAGTTCAATATATGCACCATGAAAGCTATAAAATGCAAATTATTTTAGCACGGCATCTCTTTAAGACATAAACAGTCCTGAAAAGCTGGGATTATTCTGAGTAGCCTCCCTGAGCTCTGAGAAAATTCATGTGGCAAAAGACATAATGAATGCATTCCTCCACAGCTAAAAAACAATAGGAATTTTGTTCCTGAATTAATTTGAAACCCAGGTTGCTGCAGTTAGAATTTGCAGGAAGGTGTACATGACAAGATTCCAGTTTTCTCTCCTGCCTCTTATAATGCTGTTCTGACCTTCTTTGTCTTTCCAGTAATGCTTACTGTATTACCGAGGTGGCTAGAAAGAAGATCTGAACATTAGGAGCTTTGCAAAATCTTTTTCCTAAACATGATCTTCTGTCCTAAACTTTTAAAGCTCATTTGAGCCCTCTGTAGATAAATGGTAGGTCTGCAAAGCTGCTAGGAGATACTGCCAATGCTGTTTTAATTGCTATTCATTCAGATAATCGATATTGTTTAGGTTGGTTTGGGTTCCCCCCCCCAGGTAAAAATGTGGTTTAATTTCCTTTTCATAGTAGCATGAGTGTGAACTCATACAGTTTGTACATGTGCTGGCTGCTGCAGAAATAAATCCAGATGACCCCATAATTTCTTATAATCTCTAACTGTAATTCTGAGTTCATTTTTATGCAAAAAGACTGTTGTCTATAAGCTGCACAGAAGTGCCTGCCATAGCCATCTGAGCAGAGGGGTGGGGACCTGAATCCTTATCCTGGCTATAAAACCAACTACTGTTGTGACCTTGAGCAAGTCATAGATGTGGCTCCATAAAGTGATTGT